ATGTATGGGCGGCCAGCAGCTCGAACTTGCTGGCCTTCGCCGCCGTCAAACATCAGGGTAATATCCAGATCTGGAGCATGTTCAGCTGCTTAGCGATGCTCCAATAGGACATAGTGTCACAGAATACCAACACCAACGTCAAGTATTACCGGAGCAACATTGGCCAATGAATGGTTGGAGGCGCTCAACCAGACGGCATAGGTGGGCTCGGTTTCTGAACGCGCGCTGATGCCTGATTCAAGCCACGCTGTATTGAAGGTTCTATCGGCATCACTCCCCGTTCTTTTAAGGGTAGCACACCGCCCCTGTGCGCTACCTAAAAGTCCCTTAAAAGAACGGGGAGTGATGCCGATAGAACCTTCAATCATTCTGGGCTAACAGCTTATGACTTGGAAAAAGTCGCGATCCCAATTCAATCGAAAACCTGTGGGCTCTTGTTCAGTAGGTGACTGAAGAGACGCCCGCCACAAGCACCGCCCAACCGCAGGCAAAGGTTTAGACGGCGTTGGTCTGCATCAAAGCCAGTGTGCTGGAGAATCCAATGGCTGAAATGCTCCAGAACATTGGCCACTGTGTTTTTATGAAAGGTGGCTACATGCTCCGATAAAAGAAAAGTACCAGATTGTTTTGTTTCTTAATTACAGCGGGTAGAAAGGTGTCCGGATAATTTCGTTACACCCCCTGTAATGTTCAAATGGTTGTTTGTTTGTATCTGTAGTCCTCTCCGTGGCCGAGTGGATAAAAGCGCCGGAGTTCGACGCTTAGCCGGAAGTGAGAGCCCGGTTCAAGCCCCGGTGCTCCTACGTGTAATGGCGTGCGTGTCTGTGGCAGGGGCCGCACAGAAGCCAAGTAACGTGAGTGAGCGGAGAGGACCGTGTCCAGTCGTGAGGGCACGTTAAACGTTCGGACAAAATTCTGCCATACTACTGGAATTGCGCGATCGGGTGGTGGGGTCAGGGTCAGCACAACAAGCTATGCTTAGTGCGGGCTCTGATTCCTCAAATCCGCCCATTCAGCCATTCGGACTAAATTTATAAAAAAAGTCTGTATGGATAAATATTGGTATATGTGTGTGTGGTGTGTGTGATGTAGTGGAATGTGACGGCGAGCGTGCTGCGGTCTGCTCTTGTTTAAATATTGTATTTATTTGTACCTATATTTGTATTAGTTTTGTTAAGTGTACGCCTTAATTGCGCAGTGCGCGTTGCTACATGACCTCCAAAAGCCATCTGGGCCGATGTACACGTGTGAATATTTGGTTCCGTTTCAATTTTTCAAATGTGATTGCCTCGGCTAGACCAGGGCCTCGTTTCATAAAAGGAATTACTTACGGCGTTCCGTCAATTATGCCAGATTTGGCGTATTTGATGCCAATTCGGTTTCATAAAGCCGGAGACCGGAGTAATTCACGCCATCGAAATTACGGAGCTTCATTTACGGCAAATTCTCGATTCCGGACCATTTGATGCCATTTGGGTTTCATAAAACGACGTAATTAACGCCAAATATTTTATCAAGTTCTTGATATGAGTGGTGTAAACTACGCACAAAAATGTTGCGTGAATTTGAATTAATGTGAAGATTCTTGTTGTTTGTTTATTGGGGCTTAAGGGCGCGCCGACTGTGAAGATTCGAAGCTAATTTTTAATATATTTTATAATGTTGAGCCCGGTGAGGAAGAAAGAACAGCCCAAATGAGAAAAAGAAACTGCAAATCTTCTGTACCAGTCGCTTTTTGTGGCCACCACTGAACTCTATAATGTGGAATGCGCATTGGCCGCCAGATGGTGTCCAACGGTGCCGCCATGTTGCGCAGACCAGGAAGCGGCCGCCGCCTGTGTTGGGGAATAGGGAATTCGGGACCTCGATTTACGTTTGCGGTCGCTGCATCCGTTACGTTCAAGCTATGTGGACACGGAACCCGGCATCTTACGCAGAATTGAGTGGAGAACAAGATGAAATCCTAAAAAATCCTTAGATACAACTAACGAACTAATACGTTAATACCCTTCTAAATCAATGGGGAAATATGAAAATTGCTATTTTGGCGCCGAGAATGATCTGAAACTATCTCAAGCATATAGAATCATGATTTCATGCAGTCTTTGCAAGGTTCTATGCTTCATATTTGCATTGTTGCCCTTGCGTGACGTCATTTGTGACGTCACAAGGGTCATAATTTTCCTTCAATAACTCCCGATCAAATTGAGCTAGCGAGTCAGGAAAGCCACCAATGGACTCAAGAAGACCTGCCGAATCGAATGATATGCGACATGACCTCTTTCGACCAACTTCGTGACCTGGGGGTGCTGACCTGACCTTGACCTGAGGTCAACACCCTAAGTTGACCTGACCGGAACAAAAAGTATATCACTCGATGCGCCTGAGCTAGCTGAACATGATGATGCCAAAATCGTGGCTCTACGGCCATTTTTGGCGAAGTTATTTACCCAAAACCGAACCCGTGCCTTAGATCACTTAACCTGACCTCAGAGGTCACCGGTTGACCTGAAACCCTTACAGCGGGTTCCTACCAGTCACTCTGCATTATACTTTGCCGCATACGACCACTTTACCGCTTAATTCTAGTTTAATTAGCGGCGCATTAGCGAGGTGGGTTCAATCAACCCCCTCGGCCGGGGCAAATGTAGGTCTGGCGAGTGAATTTGAGGAATTCTGAAGATACGATCGTGTTCCCCACTCAATTCTGCGTAGGGTGCCGGGTTCCGTATCTACGTAACTTGAACGTAACGGATACGGCGGCCGCAAACGTAAATCGAGGTCCCGAATTCCCTATTCCTCAACACAGGCGGCAGCCGTTTCCTGGTCTGCGCAATATGGCTGCCACCGTTAGACACTACGGCCAATAGGGTTGAAGCGGCAGTGCTCCCCTGCGGTGGCCACAATCGGAATTTTGTTTATTCGCCGCGCCGCGCCACTTTCGTAGTTAGGCACTTCTGCTTAGCTGGCTTTCTACTTTTTCAATATATTTATTTAATAAAGGATGGTCATCAATATCAATTTTGTTTTTTTCATAAATAATTTTTAAGATTAAAATTCAACATTAATTGTTTTATAATTTCTCGTAAAAGATAAGTGTTGACATGAAAGTGTAATTTGTAGGACGCTTGATAAATTACAGCAACTACGCAAATGTGCTTAGTTACGGAGGTGTAAACAATTCCAGTTGTGGCTTTGTGAAACGGCTTCATTTGCGCCCCGTAGTTTGAAAGGGTGTGAATTACGGAAAGGTGTAAGTTACGGCAGAGTTTTATGAAACGAGGCCCAGAACCCGACGATGTCGTAAGACGAAAGCTTGTTCTATATTTTCGCCCTTATTTTGTTATATACAAATACATCTCACTGCCATGTTATTGGTCAATTTCATCACCATATTTAATAAGCTATTTTGAGCGAAAACTCAAAATATGACGTCACTAAAACCTCGACATCCAAAAGAGTTACACCGATATTTTAACACGCGCACCGATGGGGGGGCGGATATCCTCCCCCACCCGAGGCTTTTTGCGGATAGCGGGAAAACCGCGGCGCGTAGCGCCGCGAAATTTGGTACGACTATTCTCTCATCAATTTTACACATGGTGTGCAAGTTTTACCTCCTAACTTTGAAGGTCAGGTCACCAGGTCACTTTGAATGACCCAACCTCAAGTCACTTTTTTGCAACTTTGTCACCGTGCCAGAGCTACAGTAGATGTCTGAGGCCTTTGAAAGTCGCAGGATGTTATTAGGTCATTAGTAGCTACAATTTGTTTATCTCGGAATTTTGATGTCGGTGACCTAAGGTCAGGTCAATTTCGCGACCTCCCCATTATAAGTCAATGGGGGAAAAATCAACTCCCTGTTTTTACCACTAAAACGGGTCGGAATGGCCCCATATACCATACATGACTTCATATACGATCAACCTTCACTACCTTGAGGTCTGTTTTGCTGTTGGGCAGCTGTAAGGTCATGTGACGTCATCAAAGGTCACCAGCGGTTTTTTGCCAATCACTCCGTACAGGAACAAGATAAAGCCGCGCGGATGGTCTCATTGCGTTCAGCTCGTCAAGACACATCGAATGATATACATGATGACCTCGAGGTCACGTGACCTGAGGTCAACCTTTGACCTTGACCTTTCGAGGTCAACATATATAATATATATCATTCGATGCGGATTGACGAGAGGATCACGATGATGCCCTTAGTTTGTTCCTATCATGACTAATTCGAAAGTTATTCGAGAAAAACTCTCTCCATATATAGCGCCGCCATTTTGACTTTTTCGACCCCTGTGACGTCATCTTTGACCTGACCTGAAAATGACCTTAGTAAAAATTGTAGATCTTGTCCGTGCGTATCCGATGCCGTTTACCGCTTGTCGCTATCTTGCTTCGTTCTCGAGATCTCAGGGGGGGGGGGTGGTCATCCGCCCCCCCCGTCGGTACGAAGTTGGCGCAAACCGTCGGTGCGAGTGTTAAAGCCTTGCCCCAAATTAAACATCAATTTAACCCGTGCACCGACGGGGGTCCCTGCCACCCCCCACCCGTGATATCTCGAAAACGAAGCAAGCAACGACAAGCGATAAACGACAAAGGATGCAGGCGGGCAAGGTCTTAAATTTGCATTAAGGTCATTTTCAGGTGAGGCAAAAAATGGCGTCACAGGGGTCAAAATAGCTAAAATAGCGGCGCCAAAGGTAGATAATTTTCTACGAATTACTTTTGAAGTAATCAAGCTAAGCCGAAGCAAACTAATAGTACCTAACATGTGTGAAATTGATGTAGGAATAATGATGCCAAATTTCGCGACTCGTACGCGCCGCGGTTTCCCCGCTATTTCCGAAAAACCTCAGGGCGACCGCTTCCATCGGTGCGCGTAATGGGTATCACACACCATACAAGAAGTCAATAAAACATATGGAAGAGCATTCGCTGCCCAGTTCCCACCTATGGGCCGTTAGTGCACGGCCGCAGAGTGACGTGCGCGGGCGTACCTTTGAGAAGCAGGCTCCCATGAGCACCTTGGGAGTGGGCGGCAGGCCATAGGACACGGGCCGCGGCTGGGTGGTCTTGCGGAAGCGCTGCCGGCGCCGCGGCGGGGGCACCGGGCCGCCGTCGGCACGTCGGTCGTCGCCGCCCGCTGCGCCTCACGTACACACACGGGCGTCACGTCACACAGGGCCCGTGCAGTACACCAGAACGTATTAACTAGTGGTGTCAATTTCAGAAAACGTATGTCCAATGTCCGTCCAGTGTCCAATACTTACGTCGACTGTCCGTCCAAAAATGTCCAAGCCAGCCATTTATCCAAAGATGTCCGACATCTACGCAATAGTTTACACTCAACACCGTTATTTAATTTGCTTTTAATGTATCGTTACCAGCTCAAAAGTGTTGATCATATCGAAAGCTGAGCTTTCTAACAGCCAATCAATGTTAAACACAATTACTTTATAAAAATGTTGAGGTGTAGCAAGCGATTGTCCAAAGTTGTCCAAAGCCTGCTGTCATTGTCCAACCGAATTCCGAATCGGACATTGGACAAAATCGGAATTCCGAAAATTCAAGTTCCGATTGACACCACTAGTATTAACCCGCGCCCGGCTGGGGGTCCTGGATTTCCACGCCCTGCTGGGGGGGGGGGGGGTGTTTGAACACCCCCCTTGTAACTCGGCTCCTGGGCCACGTAGCGATACGCGGAAGGCGGCGTTCGAAAGAGCGTCAAAAATAATGACGAAATTATTTCGGTCAATTTTTTGGTCAGGTCAAAGGTCAGGTCACCAGAGGTCATTGAAGGCAAAATTTCGCCGATTTCCAGGTCGAATGTCCAAAATTTCCAAGAAGCCAACGCATAACTCGGGAACCAATAGAGCTACAGCGCCGCGGAAAAGCGCATTCGATAGCCCTATTAACGCCCTTTCTGAGTAATTATCTCAGATTTGACCTAACGTCAACGGTTTTGCCTGCAGGCGGCAAAAACTGCAAAAATAGCCGATTTTTTCGGAAACAGTTTTTCTGCAATAACTTTTGACCCAAGCCATGTACGAGCTTACTTTTACCGGCATCGTGTTCCTCTCGTCAAGACGCATCGAATGAGCTATAACTTGACCTTGAAAGGTCAACTTGAAAATTTGACCTCAGGTCAAGGTCATGACCTGACCGGAAAGGGTCATGTTGCATATCAGTCGATCCGTATCGTCGATCTGAACACATCTAAGGCGTTTTCATCGCTCTAGCATGCCTCTATCAAAAGTTATTTGCGAAAAACTGTTAGATACCATTCGTGACCTAAGATGACCTCAGGGCATAAACAAGGGTCACGGACACCATTTTCATGTTCAGTGCGTCTAAACCACTTGTAATTCGGTGTTTGGGAGTGTTTATAATGTCTTTCGTCCAAAAGAGGCGCATTTCAATTTTCTCCCATTGACTTATAATGGGGAGGTCGCAAAATTGACCTGACCTTAGGTCATCGACATCAAAATTATGAGATAAACATTTTGTACATGCTATTGCTCTTAGCAATCGCTGAAAGTTTCAAAGCAATCGGTCACTCGGTGTAGCTATGGCAGACATTGAAACTTTTTATGAGGTGAGGTCACTTCAAGTGACCTGGTGACCTGACCTTGAATGACCTTGGTCTGAAATTTTCACAACATGTGCAGAATTGATGTATGATAAGGTGTACCAAAAACGGCGCCGGAAAACCACAAGGGGGGTGTTCAAACACCCCCCCCCCCCCAGCAGGGCGCGGGTTATAATGACGACAGACCTCGATAGCGTCATTGTTAGCACGCAAAACAAAGCCATAACTACAGAAAAATTAAAAACATGTTAAAACAAATACGAGAAATGAACACAGCATCAAGCGTGGGATATGTGACACTGGAACGCTAAAAAAGCGTCAGAGCCCAGCTGGCGGAATCCGTTAGGAGGGCGCGCAGTGAGCTCAGCGCCGGGGTCGGCCGCCCGCCCCCCCCCCCCCCCCCGGCTCACCGGCGCTGATGGTGTCGCCGTCGGACAGGGAGCGGCCCCGGTGCGCCGGCGTCAGTGCGGCCGGGCCGGCGGCGGCCTCCTGCTCCTGGCGGCCGGCCGTACTGTGGCGACGGCGCAGAGTCGCCTCCCCGCCTGGCACACACCGACACACACACAGTCCGACGTCAGCCCTCGGCCGGCCAACTATCCTCTGCTCATGGGAACACGTGACCTCAGGGGATGCTGCGCGACACAACTGCACGGTCGGATATACACTCCATCCTGCCCACAACGGTTCTCAGACACATTTTCCGTACATGCCATGGGACAAAAACAAGATGTTAAAACAAGGTGAACATTGGAAAAACTCTGTTGAAACCAGCACCCGGTCAACAGAGATGGTAGACCAAATTTAGTCGGATATGAAAATTCTACTAAACCCATACACTTTAGGTACTGTTAAGACTACCAAAGTTGAGAGGTGTTTATGAAGGAACATGGCCAGATACGAAAAAAAGATCCTTCATTTAATGGCGCAAAGTATACTGAATTTTGCCTACCGCAATGGATGTTTCTCAGATGATTTTTCGCGAAATTCATATTTGTTGCCTTACGTTATTGCTCATAAAACTGAGATATACAAATTTCATATAAAAAACAATACTGTGATAATGAAAACCGACTTATAAAACAAGATAATTGCTGAAAGCATGCCTACTAAACTTGTTCCTACCCCCTTATTCAACGCACCCCGGTTGAAGCTATGATGATAAGAACTCGACCTATGACTAAACGCAGACAGATTCCAAGCACGCCAAAGATCGGCAAGGGCCGCAGTGTCAGTGCCTCAGTAATTCAGAGGGCCGCGGTGTCAGTGCCTCAGTAATTCAGAGGGCCGCGGTGTCAGTGCCTCAGTAATTCAGAGGGCCGCGGTGTCAGTGCCTCAGTAATTCAGAGGGCCGCGGTGTCAGTGCCTCAGTAATTCAGAGGGCCGCGGTGTCAGTGCCTCAGTAATTCAGAGGGCCGCGGTGTCAGTGCCTCAGTAATTCAGAGGGCCGCGGTGTCAGCGCCTCAGTAATTCAGAGGGCCGCGATGTCAGTGCCTCAGTAATTCAGTATGTCTGGATGAAACTACTGACAACGGGGACAAGCAAATCATGTAAGCTAGAACCTCAAGTCTGAAATGAGGTTACAATCACTCGTAACCATATATTATTTGGTATTGCGAGCAGTTAAGTGGTAGGGAAGAGCGGGGCAATTTCGTGCATGGGGCATATTCGTTTCCGGCAGTTTATGGAAACACGAGTGACTACCCAAGATCAAGGTAAATTATAAAAATATGTCTATCGTTGCCGCCCCCCGTTCACTGTAGAAGACAACACTGAACCTGCTATCAGCTTGAAAAAAAAACGCCAAGTTGCATTATTCGTGCGTTTTACAAACTATTTTCATAGCATCCATTTTCGTGATCCTGACTCGGAAATGCGGTTCAGCTTTTTCAAAATTCACGGCGAAGGACTCTATTCACGGAACTGTTGCAAACTTGTTTGTAAAGGTGCCATTTTTCCAAAAAAAAAATGATATAGGTATTACAAAAACGTTGTGGGACAGGTTGGTGTACGCACTGCCTAGAGGCACACTCGTGCATTTTTTCCGTTTTTGCGATTTATGATTTGATCTGTAGTAGGTTTCATTCATGACGGTGGCCTGACTCTGTCTCGTCTGCTTGCGACGTCGTGACAAGTAATTCACGCGACCTTGGCGAGGCCACGGAGGCCGATGGCCGGCAGTTGGCACATTCTTGTTGGCCATCCCATTCTTTCTACATTTGTTGTGCTATGCATTCTTGTGGAAAGGAATCTAGTGAAATCCCCCTCATAATTTCTTTTGATAACTTTCTGGTAATGCCTGGCAATTCCTCGAACTTTGCAGGGTTCACGGAAGTGCCCCACCCCTTGCACGAAAGTGCCCCATAACTGGGACAGTTTCGTGCAAACGTTCAGAGTTATTAAAAGTAATTTTTTTCTAACAGAAGAGCTAATTTTAGAAGATAACTTTTAATTAAGAAAAATATCTGCAATAGATCCTTTCCATACTACAATCAACATTTTTAGCATTGCACCAACCAAAGAACAGATATATGGATTTATCCATTTTTTGCACGAATGTGCCCCACTCCACTCTCTCCTAAAATTTGTTTTCAGCCTATGAGTGACATGATGGTTTAATCACATACTTTTCTGTTTTGATTGGTGACTTTCTGAGCATCAGGTGAGCCTGTTGACAGCGAAGACTGTAGTACTTGTCAGTACTTTTGGAGTCAATTTGTTTTCTGTTGATATGAGATACTGACCGGTTTTAATAAATTAAATCTGGTTTTAGCGGGCCGACTGAGATAGATGACCCTCGTCTGTGCGCGGTATCTCGTGTAAAGGCTGATTATGTAAGCTAGATCCCGCGGCAGGACTAACTACAGGTCGCGTGGTCTGGTGGTCCGGTGGAGCCGCTCCGTTCGGCACTGTTTTGTGGGCCACTACAGTCCTGCACCCAGTGCCACTGAGGACTGTTCGGAGCTGGAGGGCTCCGCTGAGCGGCCAGTGCCCAGCGCCGCGCCGAGCTGACCTGGTGGCTCCTCGTCCTCGTGGTCGTCCGGCGGCGCATCAGAGGCCGCTCCACAGCTGTGCGGCGTCAGCGTGCCCCTGCAACAGCAGCCGGAAACAGTTCCAGAGCCACGCCGGACACAGTTCCAGAGCCACACACCGGACACAGTTCCAGAGCCACACCGGACACAGTTCCAGGACCACACACCGGACACAGTTCCAGAGCCACACCGGACACAGTTCCAGGACCCCACACACCGGACACAGTTCCAGAGCCACACCGGACACAGTTCCAGGACCACACACCGGACACAGTTCCAGAGCCAGGCCGGACACAGTTCCAGGACCACACACCGGACACAGTTCCAGAGCCACGCCGGACACAGTTCCAGAACCACACCGGACACAGTTCCAGAGCCATGGACACAGTTCCAGAGCCACACACCGGACACAGTTCCAGGACCACATACCGGACACAGTTCCAGAGCCATGCCGGACACAGTTCCAGGACCACACACCGGACACAGTTCCAGGACCACACACCGGACACAGTTCCAGAGCCACACCGGACACAGTTCCAGGACCACACACCGGACACAGCTCCAGGACCACACACCGGACACAGTTCCAGGACCACACACCGGACACAGTTCCAGGACCACATACCGGACACAGTTCCAGGACCACACACCGGACACAGTTCCAGAGCCACACACCGGACACAGTTCCAGAGCCACGCCGGACACAGTTCCAGGACTACACACCGGACACAGTTCCAGAGCCACGCCGGACACAGTTCCAGAACCACACCGGACACAGTTCCAGAGCCACACCGGACACAGTTCCAGAGCCACACACCGGACACAGTTCCAGGACCACATACCAGACACAGTTCCAGAGCCACACCGGACACAGTTCCAGAGCCATGCCGGACACAGTTCCAGGACCACACACCGGACACAGTTCCAGGACCACACACCGGACACAGTTCCAGGACCACATACCGGACACAGTTCCAGGACCACACACCGGACACAGTTCCAGAGCCACACACCGGACACAGTTCCAGAGCCACGCCAGACACAGTTCCAGGACCACACACCGGACACAGTTCCAGAGCCACGCCGGACACAGTTACAGAGCCACATCGGACACAGTTCCAGAGTCACGCCGGACACAGTTCCAGAGCCACGCCGGACACAGTTCCAGGACCACACACCGGACACAGTTCCAGAGCCATGCCGAACACAGTTCCAGGACCACACACCGGACACAGCTCCAGGACCACACACCGGACACAGTTCCAGAGCCACACCGGACACAGTTCCAGAGCCACACCGGACACAGTTCCAGAGCCACACCGGACACAGCTCCAGAGCCACACACCGGACACAGTTCCAGGACCACACACCGGACACAGTTCCAGAGCCACACCGGACACAGTTCCAGAGCCACACCGGACACAGTTCCAGAACCACACCGGACACAGTTCCAGAGCCACACACCGGACACAGTTCCGGAGCCACGCCGGACACAGTTCCAGGACCTCACACCGGACACAGTTCCAGAGCCACGCCGGACACAGTTCCAGGACCACACACCGGACACAGTTCCAGAGCCACGCCGAACACAGTTCCAGGACCACATCGGACACAGTTCCAGGGCCACACACCGGATACAGTTCCAGAGCCACGGACACAGTTCCGGAGCCACGCCGGACACAGTTCCAGAACCACACCGGACACAGTTCCAGAGCCACGCCGGACACAGTTCCAGAGCCACACCGGACACAGTTCCAGAGCCACGCCGGACACAGTTCCAGAGCCACGCCGGACACAGTTCCAGGACCACACACCGGACACAGTTCCAGAGCCATGCCGAACACAGTTCCAGGACCACACACCGGACACAGCTCCAGGACCACACACCGGACACAGTTCCAGAGCCACACCGGACACAGTTCCAGAGCCACACACCGGACACAGTTCCAGAGCCACACACCGGACACAGTTCCAGAACCACACCGGACACAGTTCCAGGACCACACACCGGACACAGTTCCAGAGCCACACCGGACACAGTTCCAGAGCCACACCGGACACAGTTCCAGGACCACACACCGGACACAGTTCCAGAGCCACGCCGGACACAGTTCCAGAGCCACGCCGGACACAGTTCCAGAGCCACGCCGGACACAGTTCCAGAGCCACGCCGGACACAGTTCCAGAGCCACGCCGGACACAGTTCCAGAGCCACACCGGACACAGTTCCAAGACCACACACCGGACACAGTTCCAGAGCCACACCGGACACAGTTCCAGGATCACACACCGGACACAATTCCAGAGCCACGCCGGACACAGTTCCAGAGCCACGCTGGACACAGTTCCAGGACCACACACCGGACACAGTTCCAGAGCCACACCGGACACAGTTCCAGGACCACACACCGGACACAGTTCCAGAGCCACGCCGGACACAGTTCCAGGACCACACACCAGACACAGTTCCAGAGCCACACCGGACACAGTTCCAGGACCACACACCGGACACAGTTCCAGAGCCACACCGGACACAGTTCCAGAGCCACGCCGGACACAGTTCCAGGACCACACACCGGACACAGTTCCTGAGCCACACACCGGATACAGTTCCAGGACCACATACCGGACACAGTTCCAGAGCCACACCGGACACAGTTCCAGGACCACACACCGGACACAGTTCCAGAGCCACACCGGACACAGTTCCAGGACCACACACCGGACACATTTCCAGAGCCACACCGGACACAGTTCCAGGACCACACACCGGACACAGTTCCAGAGCCACACCTGACACAGTTCCAGAGCCACGCCGGACACAGTTCCAGAGCCACGCCGGACACAGTTCCAGAGCCACGCCGGATACAGTTCCAGGACCACATACCGGACACAGTTCCAGAGCCACACCGGACACAGTTCCAGAGCCACACCGGACACAGTTCCAGGACCACACACCGGACACAGTTAGAGCCACGCCGGACACAGTTCGGGACCACACACCGGACACAGTTCCAGGACCACATACCGGACACAGTTCCAGAGCCACACCGGACACAGTTCCAGAGCCACGCCGGACACAGTTCCAGGACCACACACCGGACACAGCTCCAGAGCCACGCCGGACACAGTTCCAGAGCCACACCGGACACAGTTCCAGAGCCACGCCGGACACAGTTCCAGAGTCACACCGGAAACAGTTCCAGAGCCACGCCGGACTCAGTTCCAGGACCACACACCGGGCACAGTTCCAGGACCACACACCGGACACAGCTCCAGGACCACACACCGGACACAGTTCCAGAGCCATGGACACAGTTCCAGAGCCACACACCGGACACAGTTCCAGGACCACACACCGGACACAGTTCGAGCCACGCCGGACACAGTTCCAGAGCCACGCCGGACACAGTTCCAGGACCACATACCGGACACAGCTCCAGGACCACACACCGGACACAGTTCCAGGACCACACACCGGACACAGTTCCAGGACCACATACCGGACACAGTTCCAGGACCACACACCGGACACAGTTCCAGAGCCACGCCGGACACAGTTCCAGAGCCACACCGGACACAGTTCCAGAGTCACGCCGGACACAGTTCCAGAGCCACGCCGGACACAGTTCCAGGACCACACACCGGACACAGTTCCAGAGCCATGCCGAACACAGTTCCAGGACCACACACCGGACACAGTTCCAGAGCCACACCGGACACAGTTCCAGAGCCACACACCGGACACAGTTCCAGAGCCACACACCGGACACAGTTCCAGGACCACACACCGGACACAGTTCCAGAGCCACGCCGGACACAGTTCCAGGACCACATACCGGACACAGTTCCAGGACAACACCGGACACAGTTCCAGAGCCACGCCGGACACAGTTCCAGGACCACACACCGGACACAGTTCCAGAGCCACGCCGAACACAGTTCCAGGATCACATCGGACACAGTTCCAGGGCCACACACCGGACACAGTTCCAGAGCCACGGACACAGTTCCGGAGCCACGCCGGACACAGTTCCAGAACCACACCGGACACAGTTACAGAGCCACGCCGGACACAGTTCCAGAGCCACACCGGACACAGTTCCAGAGCCACGCCGGACACAGTTCTAGAGCCACGCCGGACACAGTTCCAGGACCACACACCGGACACAGTTCCAGAGCCATGCCGAACACAGTTCCAGGACCACACACCGGACACAGCTCCAGGACCACACACCGGACACAGTTCCAGAGCCACACCGGACACAGTTCCAGGACCACACACCGGACACAGTTCCAGAGCCACACCGGACACAGTTCCAGAGCCACACCGGATACAGTTCCAGAGCCACGCCGGACACAGTTCCAGGACCACACACCGGACACAGTTCCAGAACCACACCGGACACAGTTCCAGGACCACACACCAGACACAGTTCCAGAGCCACACCGGACACAGTTCCAGGACCACACACCGGACACAGTTCCAGAGCCACACCGGACACAGTTCCAGGACCACACACCGGACACAGTTCCAGAGCCACACCGGACACAGTTCCAGGACCACACACCGGACACAGTTCCAGAGCCACACCGGACACAGTTTCAGAGCCACGCCGGACACAGTTCCAGAGCCACGCCGGACACAGTTCCAGAGCCACACCGGACACAGTTCCAGGACCACACACCGGACACAGTTCCAGAGCCACACCGGACACAGTTCCAGAGCCACACCGGACACAGTTCCAGGACCACACACCGGACACAGTTCCAGAGCCACACCGGACACAGTTCCAGGACCACACACCGGACAAAGTTCCAGAGCCACACCGGACACAGTTCCAGAGCCACACCGGACACAGTTCCAGGACCACACACCGGACACAGTTCCAGAGCCACGCCGGACACAGTTCCAGGACCACACACCGGACACAGTTCCAGAGCCACACCGGACACAGTTCCAGGATCACACACCGGACACAGTTCCAGAGCCACACCGGACACAGTTCCAGAGCCACGCCGGACACAGTTCCAGAGCCACGCCGGACACAGTTCCAG